AGTTTCTCAGAACAAAGGCGGAACTCAAGCTCAGAGCCTGGCACTCTGCCGACTGAGCATGAAGGCAGGATATCAGTAGACAACATAAAGGCTATGCTCAGCATAAAGGCTATGCTCAGCAGATGGATCAACAAAAGGCAGGATATCAGCAGACAACAACCGCCACACAGAGAAAGCCATGACCACGAGCAAACCGCAAGAGAGAGATAACATAGGTACAGCCTCCAAAGGAGGGGGAGAGAGAGAGAGAGAGAGAGCAAGAATACTTTTCTTTGTGCGGCAAGGCCAGCAGCCCCAAGATTGGCACAAGAGCCTCATTGGCGGAAAAATCAGTACAGACCCGAGACAGGCTCGAATCCTCGATCTTCAGGTTAAGCACCTTGCGCCCTACCGACTGGGCTAGGCAAACCTGGTATAAAAGGTATGCTCTGCAAATTCTGGAACAGAGGGGGTATATCCAGACAACAACTGCCGCACAGAGAGCAACGGCCACAAGCAGAGTAAGGAACAGAGAGAGCTAACGCAGGTACACCCTCTGTTTGGCGAAGCTACTGAGAAGGTCAATCCGTAAGCAAGTTCGAGGTTCTATTGCGGTGGGCCTTTTTTTGGAGGATCCAGGCCGCTCACGGCACAAAAAAGGGGTCCAGCACCAGGAAAAAGGGGAAGGTCTAATCCAGTTTCCCAGAACAAAGGCGGAACTCAAGTTCAGGGCCTTGCGCTCGACGAACTGAGCGAGGCGGGCCCTGCATAAAGGCTATGCTCAGCTGATGGATCAACAAAGGCAGAATATCAGCACAACAACCGCCACACAGAGAGAGCCATGACCATGAGCCAAAAAGGAAGAGAGAGATAACATAGGCACAGCCTCTAAAGGAGAGAGCAAAAGAGAGAACGAGAACACTTTTCTCTGTGGGGCAAGGCTAGCTGCCGCAAGATTGGCACAAGAGCCTCATCGGCGGAAAAATCAGTACAGACCCAAGGCAGATTCGAACCTCCAATGTTCAGGTTAAGGGCTTTGCGCTCTACCGGCTGAGCTAGGCGACCCTTGCATAAAGGGTATGCTCTGCAGATCTTGGAACAAAAAGGAGGAATCTCCAGACAACAACTGCCGCCCGCACAGAGAGCAACGGCCACAAGCAGAAGAAGGAACAGAGAGAGCTAACACAGGTACAGCGTCTCCGTGTGGCAAGGCTGCTGAAAAGGTGGACCCGGAAGCACAAGTTTGAAGCTAGGTCACAGGACCCCTTTTTGGAGGATCCAGGCCGCTGACGGCACAAAAAAGAACCCAAGCAGCAGGAAAAGGTGGCAAGTCTGAAGTCAGCTTGCGGGGGACCCCTTTTTGGAGGATCCAGACCGCTGACAGCACAAAAAGGGGTCCTTCAGCTAGAAAATGAAACGTCGGATCATGGAAATCCAAAATAGAGGCTGCCAGACCCCTTTTTGATAGATTTGGGCCGTTGGAGTCCCAAAAAGGGATCCAGCAACCAGAGGCTGCTGAGCGGTCAAAAAGGAGTCCAGGAAGCTTTAACCTAACTAAAAAAAGGAGCCAAAAGTCTACACCAAAGTTCTTTTCAAAACGGTGGAAAACTCCATGGACGCCCTTAAGGAACACCAAGCAAATTCCAAAATAAGCTCGGGTAACTTGTTTTGAGGGCCCCAGTTTTTGTTTGTACTAACAGCAACAACAACAACAACAACAACACCACCAGCAGCAGCAGCAACAGCAACAACAACAACAATAAACGCCGACCCTACAATCACCCCGCATTTTACAGTGTTTTTTGGCTTTCCCATGCGCCTCTTTCTTATTTATAATATATTTGTGATCCTTTGCCCTCAATTCTTCTTTATAATCTATTTCTGATCCTTTCCCCTCAAGTGGGCCGCTGGCCGGCTGTCGGGCGTAAGCCCTTAAATACGGCGATGCCTCGCCGTGGGAGGCTGTACTCCCTAGCCCTGCCACCGACCCGCCCAAAAATTCTTCACTCTCGCTGTGTTTTCACGTTTTTGGGGGTCCGGGGCCGGGAAAAAAGACGCCAAAATTATAAGTTGCTTTTGGAAATCGATTTTGGACCGTTTTTGAGCAATTGTTTGACGGATTTTTGCTGCGCTCGGGAAGCAAGAATATCGTAAAATTCAGTGCTTTTGTCCTTTTCGCATATAGGAACCACATCTTGCAACATTGTGAAAACTGCGTAAATAAGAGTGCTTTTGCTAGGCACGGGCACAAAAACTGTGTAAATACCGTGATTTTTGCTACCAGAGGCAAGAAAAAACGTCGTAAATACGGTGGTTTTGGGCTTTCGAGGCGCAAAAAGCATCGGTATTTACCGTGTTTTTTGCTCCGAGGGTTTCAACAATAGGCGAAAACACCGCCTATTTGACAAGTTTTAGGGGTCCACAAAAATGCGAAAATAAGCTGTGTTGCAACAACAACAACAACAACAACAACAACAACAACAACAACGACAACCACAACCACAACCACAACCACAACAACAACAACAACAACAAGAAGAAGAAGAAGAACAAGCACAAAAATGCGACAAACATATGTGTGGTAAGAGTAAGATTGTTACAAGATGACAAGACCATCACACTGTGCTCTGCACCTGCGCGCACGTGCAAAGCAACACAAAAACTCACACTATACTATACATTACCCTTATGGCATCGCTGGTGTGCGAAGCTCTACAACTACTATTACTGTGCCATATTGTGCCCATAACCACCACCACCATCATCATTCCTCATCATTCCTCATCATCCTCATTACCATCATAATCATACAGTGAAGCGGGGGGTCAAAAGCTGCGGCATCCTGAGTTCATATGAAATGAATCTGGAGACCAGTCGCCCTGAGCTTCACACGTAGAACTGGAGCTGTCCTTAGAATTGACGCGTCAGTCTGAACGACATAAGACATAAGTCCCTCATAGTCCCTCCACTCCAGCATTTGTTTAAGCTAAAGGCTTTACTGAGTCAAGCACCCCATGCAAAGTTGGCATCCTTGGTACAAGCATCTGCTACCATCTGCCATTCAATCATCACTCAGAATTCCTGAGTCCATTCTCTGGACTTAAGCGTCAATCTGAATTTCAATCTCTTTCAGGTAAATTGGCTGCAGTAAGCCTACGTTTTGCATCTCCAATTTTTGCAGACCTTTCCTCTGAAGAGATGTGTGGTATCCAAGGATATTCTAGATTTGGCATTCTTGGCAAGCTGCTGTACATCAGAGATCGATTCGGCATACTTAGTTGAGTTTACACATGCTCATGCAGCTGCCTACAAAGGGAAGGGATTGGGGAGAGTCTGAGACACTTGCCACAAACAGCGTCGCCAAAGCCCAGGTTGCCACGGCCAAATCTCTAGCAGCAAAACCTATCCAACTGTGCAGCAAGTTTCAACATGTTTCAACATCGATCTTTCAAGTTTCCATCTACCCAACTGCCGAGGCGATGGCTGCGCGCATTGGAACCAACGGCAGTGGCAAGCTCAGTCATCAATTTTTTATCCTGCATGGTTTTTTTCTGCCACAGTCATCATGTTCGGTCCATGTTCCGCCTAGCTGAAAGGCAATATGTAAATTAATGTAAAGATTGTAAAGTTTTATGAATTTTATGAGAGTGACAGCATGTGACAGCTGCACACCTGAGCTCGGCTGGAAGCCATGCTCCATGACAGCTGCGATACAGCCTGTCGGAGCCAAGGCATGGTGACATTCGTTCACCACAACATCCACAACTTGCCTTGGGGTAGAGCTCGCGAGTGAAGGCAACCTTACTAACTGTTGTGCATTGCTCCGTTGCCTTGCAGAAAGTTGCAGGATAAAGCGGTTGACCGACCACTGGATTCAAAAGCTGAATCATGCGCAGCCACTGCCAAATTGCCACAGAGATCAATAATTTGAAAAGAGCAACACCACGATAGTCAGCCATAGTCCATAGTGCCATAGTGAACAGATGCGAATAGTGTGTTTTGGTCCAAAGCACTCTCTGTTTTGCAAACTCCCAGGACAACGCCACCAAGTTTGAGACTGCCATCTCCTGAAAGCATCCGCAAAACAGAAAACAGACTACCAAACATACCAAACTTTTTTCAAACAGACCACAAAGCTTGTTTTCGTCTTAAACCATTCAACTTTTGGGCGAAAGTTATAATTTGAGTTCAATGGAGATCAAGTACGGCATGGGCTGGAGACTGGACCCCTTTGTCCTGCAACTGAGCGAGATCTACTGCCTTTGCCCGGCTGGAGGCCTCGGGAATTTGTGAGTCCGTTTTCCTGTGGGAGGCACCAAGATGTGCCAAGCAGTTGCGACTTACGCAGGATTCATATTCTTTCATATTCTTTCCTCGTCCAGCGAGGTTCTCGCAACCTGATGTTCCTTCGTTCATCGCTTGAGGCACTCTCATATTGTTTGCTTCCTAAGGGATTGTTGTGAATTGTCTCATTCTGCATCAATTCGGACACGTTCTTGATCTTCACCTGTTGGTTACTTGAAGGCCAGGTTCGAGGAGTCTCTTGCAGTTTTCATCTGGCATAGTGTTGTACAGGACGTGAACGTTCCAGAGTCCAATTGGTTGGAAAATCAGAACAGTTTTGAACTAATCCCGTCTTGCGCTCGCGTTTGTGCCTTCAGGGGGAAACCGCACATCTCCCCTTAATTGCTCCCTGCGGTTCGATTTTGGTTGCCATTTCTGATGTGACACTGCCATGAATCATGAATATTATACGGTTGAGTTTGGAAAAGTTTGGCTTGAAGATCTTGAAGTTCTGTGGGTGTGTGACAGTGCCTCTGAGTTCCATTCTGGATGTTTATGAACGTTTTTGTCAATAGAAGAAGAGTCCTGAAACCACTTCAGAGTGAAGCTGCCCACAGCGCTGCTACCAATCCAACAGCCAGTTGCACATGAGCACTGGCATTCAATTGCCGGAATTGCAAGGATTTGCAGGATGCAGACCGAACTGCAATTCAGACATCTTATTCAGACGCTTTACCTTTCTCGTCAGCGAGCCAACCTCACAATCTACGAACGTATTCCGAATTGCCGGCCATTTGGCCTGGCTGCACGAGCAATTCTTTAAAAGCTCGCCTATCTTAACGGAGTCGGAAAATATTCCTCGTTGGTATGCACATCCGTCTAGCCCGTTCCAATGTAATTTCTCTTGCTGGTTCGAGCTGAATCTCGAACATTGCAGGCCAAAGCTTTCCGGTGACCTCGGCAACATGTATTTCAGCAGTGAAAAAGCTACTCAGCCACTGCACATTTGCTCAGCAGAAGACAGGCTGAGTCGTTGACAAAGATTCGTTTGCCATCAGGGTCCCATGCAATTCCATTGAGAACATCTGGCCCCCTTCGGCGAGCAGCCTTTGCTTCTGCAGCAGCACCTCAGGAAAGTTGTGGCATGTTGTTTCTATTTGGGTCTTGGATGGTCTTGGCCTCTTCTATGCTGTTTAAAAGCTTGCAGCTGTTGTCATACTTTCGAGCCAGCTAATGAAAAAACAAGGTCACGCTGCCTGTAACGGCCCTGCTGTTTTTTCACCTTTTCAGTCGCAGATTTTTCTGTGTCGCATGACCCTCACAGCGTTTTCTTTGTCTGCCCATTTGTTCAGTAGCTCATTTTGGTCTGCATTTGTGTTTTGTGCCTGCTAAGTCGTATTTCCAATGCGTTTAATCATGAATTTGAATTCCTAAACGCAAAAAAAAGGCAATGTTTCGTAACAAGCGCGTAGACATACGACATGCGACATGGAGAACAGCTCAGGCAGTCCAAGTCTTGCGCGCTATCTTTCCTAAGCCTTTGAGCTGGTGCTTTCCAAGTGTATTGGATCGCCAGACAAAACTGTACACATATTCGGCAATTTTTTCATTCAGCAGCCCATTGGGCGTCTTAGAACACAGTTCCTTTGGGATATGCCGTTTCAAGGCTGACCATTTCTTGTCAATGCACTGCGTGCCATGCGTCTTGTGTCCCCGTTTACGCGTTTTACGCGTAAATTCCATTTTGACATGATTGACCTGAAAACATTTTCGTCTGGCAAGAGACAAGAGACATGTTGCAGCGTAGCACCATGAGCGTCTGGCAAGTGACAAGAGGCATGTTGCAGCGTAGCATTCAGAACGTCTGGCAAGTGACAAGAGACATGTTGCAGCGTAGCATCAAGAGCGTCTGGCAAGTGACAAGAGGCATGTTGCAGCGTAGCATTCAGAACGTCTGGCAAGTGACAAGAGACATGTTGCAGCGTAGCATCAAGAACGTCTGGCAAGAGACAAGAGACATGTTGCAGCGTAGCATTCAGAACGTCTGGCAAGTGACAAGAGGCATGTTGCAGCGTAGCATTCAGAACGTCTGGCAAGTGACAAGAGACATGTTGCAGCGTAGCATCAAGAACGTCTGGCAAGAGACAAGAGACATGTTGCAGCGTAGCATTAAGAGCGTCTGGCATGTTACAGCGTACCCCTTGCCCCCCCCACCCCCCACCCCACCCGGTTCCCCAAAAAAAACACACTATTCTTCGTGCACAAGGTCTAACTAACGGGCAATACTTCTAACTAACGGGAAATACTTCTAACTAACGGGCAAGACTTCTAACTAACGGGCAATACTTCTAACTAACGGGCAATACTTCTAACTAACGGGCAATACTTCTAACTAACGGGCAATACTTCTAACTAACCGGCAATACTTCTAACTAACGGGCAAAGCGACACCACAGCAAAAAGTGTCATATTCCCCAGGGCCGGTAGGGGCGTCGTGAGCAAAAACAAGAGATCGCAACTCACTATGTATAGGCATGCGTCTTCGTCTGTCGAGAATGCCATCCAGCACAAGCCAGCCAGTAACTGAACCAGACGTCTTGTCAATCCGGGCCAAGCAATCCTTGCCGTAGATGTTGCCCCACAACTCGTCACCTGCGGCACTGGTTTTGAGCCGGAAATGAAGCTCAGCTTTGTAGCATTTTGAAGCACAGCTTTGTGAATGCCCTGCCAGCCTATCATTTCCAGCTCGTTGATCATTTCAATGAGCTTTCCATTATCTGTAACGCTTACCTTATCTTCGCCAGTAGCAGCGCGAAAACACCCTCTGAAGCAAGAGATTCTTAGGCGGAGGCCCGGTTGGAAGATCTAAAAATGAATTCCATGAATTCCACCTGGTTGCCAGTTTGTTTGAACTTGGTGTGTCATCGCATGGTTACAGTTGCTGACAATGTCGACGCCGTTGATCACTTTTTTGCATATTTTTGTCTTGACACGGAAAAGACTGTCATACTTGCTTATCTTGTTAATGTATGGTTCATTCATTTTTTGCCATGGCTTCGCCACGTATCATGCATCGATCGTATCTGGCATACTGAATGCATGTTGTTTGTGTTGTTTACTCGTTTGGGTTTACCCGTACGGCTGGATTTTAGCCAAACAAGGCACGGCCTTCCAAAGATATGCAGCGCGCGGCCAACACATGACGCTGTCACATTCTGTCACTATTGAAGCAGGTCTGGTTTGAAGTCATTTTGAACATCAGGCCGAATCAGGCCTTTAAAATCCTTTCAATCTACAAACCGTTTCCATCCTTTTCGATCCTTTTCGAATATTTAGTCTGTACTATGTACAGTATTTGGATGTATTTGGAAGATTTCACCCTGGCACTGATTGCGCGCATTTACAATGCCTTCTGAGTGCTGTCTTGGAACTCAAGGCCAGCCTACACAGTTTGGAGCTGGACAACATCATCCATACGCAACCTAACTATAGTCAACCCCAAGACACACATTCTCCCAAGACCTGTAAAGGATGTAAAGGTGCACATGTTGAAAAAGTTAAAGGTCACGTTTGGTACTAGGTCGGCCCAACACCCTCCAGTTGCTACAGGATCTTCCCGGAGCAAAACCGTCGCCCGAGAAGATTTTGGAAGTCCCGAACCGACGCCTTTTGTGCAGTTACATGCGTCTATCAAACGCAAAGGGCTGCTTTTTCAAGAAACTGGCAGACAGACTACAGAAAGAAAGCGATAGAAGACGAGCAAGGTTCTCCCACTTTGGAATCAGCAAGCCCGTGATAAATATACTCAATGCACCCAGATTCTGGAGCTGAATAGCTCGCTGGGTAGACCGTTTGTGAGCAGATTTTGCGAGCGCTCTCGATGTTTTTGATGTTTCTCATCCTTCACTAGTCCATGTCTTGACAACAGATGCACAGGAGGGACAAAAACACATTGAAAATTGAACAAAAACAAAGTCACGCCGTCCGTAGCTGTCCCATACAATTTGCAACTTGTTGCAACAGCGCCTTCTCAGATTTGTCAACCCTTACAGGGTTTTGTAACATCAGCATCTTGGCCTGACTTGCATTGTCATTGGTATGTGTAGCAGCATCGAGATCATAAATTTACCGGGGTCAAAATGGAACTTGTTCCTTCCCATGTTTTAAAAACAAAGTTGTTTATGTTGTTCAAGAGAAAATTAAGAGGGTAGAATCAAGAGCATGTTGGAAGTTCCAAGAGAAAGTTAAGAGCGTAGCTTGTTTCAACCTTCACACCCCATCCTTCTCCTCCCCACAACCCCGCCACCCCACCCTCCCTTTTCCCCCACCCCCAAATAATAAGGTCATTGCGTGAACAATGTTGTGAAACGTGCACAAAATCTCTGAAAGGTTCACAACATCTCTGAAACGTGCACAAATTGCACGATAACATCTCTGAAATGTGCAAACCATCTCTGCAACACGCATCTGTGAGCGCAGTGGGAATGTACATGTGACATGAAGCGCAAATATGATGCAGCATGTTGCCCAGAATGAATAGCAAACGGCGTGGAAATTAAAGGCGGCGTGAGCAAAAACACTGGCATACAGGAATGAGCTGACGCCGGCTGACGCCAAACAATTAACTGCTAAGTGAGAGCAAAACACGCAAAAAACCTTCAGTCTGCCAAAATGTTGAGAAACGAGCTTTCAATATGCACCGCTCAGATCTCGAAATGTAGCATGTTTGTGAAGCAAACAATCTTTACCAAGCTGCGCGTTTCTTGATCCGGAAGTCCTCCGGATCAAGAAATATTAGTTCATGACCGCTGTCCTCAGATCACTACTCTCGAGTTATCAGCAACGCGTTCTGAGACAAACCCATTGCGATTTTCCAGATGTGGGTCCAAGACTCGGTCACAACCAGGTTCTCTCCATCAAATTCAATCCTTGTCAGGTCTTTTCATTCTGAACACGTCTGAGAAACAATTATGCAAGCAGGAATGATGTGGGTAAATGGTCACATTGGCTTGTTCACTGCACATGCAAGTACTTGATCAATTCCGTACAAGCTTCCCCCAACCATCATTCAAAGGTGTGCGAAACCTCCCAGCTTGTCTTAGCTGCTCATGTTCACCAGCTTGAACATAGTAGCCTCACTGGCTTACCATGGAGCATCAGGAAGTGGCTGAAAAAAAAAGACACGAAGTTCTGAAGTACTCCCTAAACTAGTTTTTCGTCATGTCTCCTCACTTGGAATATCTTGGAATGCTGACAACACCCACCTCCGGCTGCACTGCTGGGACTGGTGAATCTGCAAAACATCCCCACAAAGCTCGCAGGATGCACTGGTCTGTGACAACTTGGACCAAGTCACGGATACCTTCACCCGTTCTCCAAAGAAGCTGCAAGAGTTGCCCCCTGCGAGCTCTGCCGTGTCGCTGAAACAAGTTTCAAAAAGTTTCAGGGGTTCAGGACACTGTGGAAAAGCAGGTGCTCAGTAGGTATGTAGGCATGATATGGCATGATAGGAACAATGGAAAGATAAGCAGGCCAGGTCTGGTGTCTGACCATGACATGGTTCAGAACTACCGACATCCTCTTGACCTCCTTGCGCAACTCTTTCCGGACAAAAAACAAAGAAAGCATCGTTGTAGGGAGATTTCGGCACAGAATCCATCGGAACGAACTACATCAATCATCAATCACTACCTGAACGCTATTCAACACGGGTTGCTGGCAGGGGTGCAGAAAATTTGAAGCCTTCAAGATCAATCAATTGAAATGATCCAATAGTACCGCTTACCGCCCGCTATACCACCCCACTTCTGAAAAGCTTGCATTCGCCTCTTCTGCACCAAACCTTCTCCGAAATCTCTCCGATCCAAGGGTAGCTGTCTGACGACGTGCACTTCTCCTTTCTTTGAGTGCACGTGCAGCATCTGCAGCATGCAGAATATGTGCAGCATGTCCAGCATGTCGCATGAATAAGTTTCAAGGTCTCACTGTTCTGTTCGTCAATTGAGGTACACTGGGACGTGAAAGTCAGTGCATATGTGGAACCAAGGTAAAAACTGCATGGGACGCCGCGCATTCAGGAAGTCAAACAAGTCAATGCAATTAGGTCTAAAACACCATGGGACGCACTATGTAGAAGTGTTATTTTTAGATCCCTGGCAGTGCACTTTTCTATTGCCAAATTTTCCAAATCCCCATCAGGACGCGTGTGCACAGTTATGTCCCATAATCTTAAAAATATATATGCCAAATTTTCCAAATCCCCATCAGGACGCGTCTCCACACATGAATCTCAAATATGTCTGAATAATAATCTGAAAGAATGTTTCTGGTGGCTTTCCTGAAGGAATTTGATAAGGAATGGAAGACTTCGGGATTCGAATGTTGCTAAGTGAATGTACAGTTGCAAATCTCATCCACGTTCTCTGCCCTGTGGTACACCGCATGGCCCACCGCTTACGCCAGACAAAATCTCTTGCTTCTCTGCCCAAAAACCGCGCCTTGCCCAGAAGCAGCAACACAAGCAACAACAACAGCAGCAGCAGCAGACCATTGCAAAGCCTTTCCAAAACCTCTCCGGGCTGGATTTTGACTGGCTGCAATTTTAACGAAGTCCGAACGAGGTGCAAACGAGGTCTAAACGAGGTCCGAAATCAGATTTTGGGAGACTGACCCCCTAAGTCTCCTGACAAACTCTTTGGTAGCCACACGCTTTCGCATTCTTTTCAAAACAGTTAGACTCAAGAGCTTTCAGCGGTGCCAAAAAATACATCAGTAAGTTAAAGTGATAGGCGCTGCCCATGCGGGCCTTCCCCCATAGGCACTTGTTATAACATCGACCCAGTAATCGTCGGTGTTTGTATGAATCTTGCACAACAGAGCGAGCCACAAGTGATGTACAAAACTCCCAAAACACAAGGGAATAGCTACCAGTACAACCATCTGCATGGTATCCATGAAAAACTCACGATAAACCATCAATTGGAGAAAACACAAACATGCTAAACACCAACTGGACGCAACATCGCACCGACTTCCAGAAATTTCTCCCCCACCTAGGACGCACATTTCATTGAAACGCTTTGACTTCCACAACTAGGAGTACTTAACAGATCTTAACAGTACTTGAATACTGCGTGTGCTCTGTCTCAAACACCACATATGGCTGGCACAGGACCTATCTTTATTCCTATCTCACACTCAATGCACAATAAATGCTGGAGGATTCTGGCACTGACAGTATGGTTGGAAAATTCAAGCCACAAGCCACCTACAGATAATCTAAATGTCGACCAAATGAATGTCTCTTGCCATCACTTGACTGTGTTTCCAGATCTTATACCAGTAGCCTGGATGTGCAATGGTTGTAGACGTGAACATTTTGCTAATCTGCATCTCGGTCTTCGGCTAAAGGCAAAACGGGTTTGCAGGTTTGTTTACACATATATCCCCACAGAAATGTTATAAACCAAAACAAGTTGCTGGTCCCTAAATGTGCTACTTTGCAGAATGCAAAAAAACACCAAAGCATTGTTATGCGATTGAACGTATCAGCAAACTGTTAAGTGACCTTAGGTGAGTTGCTTGCCTTTGAGCAGTACATGATGCTATGCCATAACATACCATCAAAGTACCATCCATGCCACTGCACCACGCAGCGCGACGTTGAATTTTGCGCTAACATCTCATACAATCATACGTGGCATGATCACTACTACCGAGGCCCCTACCATTTAACTTCCGGTACCATAACCATATATACCCGTAGCATACAGTAGCAGCAGCTAATTCATGCTAATTCCACACCAGGGCAATTCATTGAACTTATGGCCTCTCATGTTTGCCTTTGCCTTGAAGTACAACATGTTGAATTTTGCAGAGTACATTTGAATATTATGCTCACATAGAAATCGTACATGATTGTTATCACATATGACATGGCAACTCTGGGGCAGCTCGACAACGACGTTTGAAAAATGTCTCGTCGTCCATCTGCCAGGAGAAAACTATAACATGCTGCAAATGGCAGGCTTTCGGAAAAAGGGCACATCTTTTGCAATCTTGTTTGGGTTGTGCTGCCCATAGTCCATTTCCATCCAGCAATCTTGACATCAAAGCGAACTCAAAACAAAGGAGTACACATGCAAGTCGGCAAGTCAGTGTCAAGGAAACCAACACACAGCAAAACAAGCTGCTTGCAGCGAAAGATCCATTTGAACCCAGTTGGAGTTCTCGAAGAGTTGACTCGCCATACAGACCAGTTGATTCAAAAAGAGATCCATTCGACCACAGAAGACCTTGAGTGAAAGCATTTGGATCATGCTGGAATCTTCTGACCTCAGGTCTGCGATGCTTGCAGCACATTGCAGGTCGATCTTCGTACGCGTCTCTAATCTATCGTTTCTGATGCACGTTCACACGCCGTGCACGACTCTATCCGTGTCTTCTCCCTCCACCCTGCTAGAGTCTGCTAGAGGTACTTTGACGATTGCAAAGTATCAGGTAATCCAAATTCTAAGCAGCAGACCACTCGATATGTGTAGACGGCAGGTTCGCTAGGACTTGTCACTGAAGCTGGAGTTCGTTGGGGATCGACAGCAGGCTCGCTATGAATTGTCCCTGAAGCTGAACCTCTTTGGGTGTAGACAACAGGTTCGCTATGAATTGTCACTGAAGCTGAAGCTCTTTGGCGAAGAAAGCCTGCAGCCAAGCATGTGAAATTTTGCGCGGTTTGTTTCATTCCAACATCCAAACCACGGTCCAAATTAGATCAGAATGGCGCCACAACATGATGCATTTCAGAAATATCGATGTATAGATCTGACTTGCTTGCAAAAGGCGCAAGACATACTAATATGATCTAATATGCATTTTTTTCCGCCTGCCTTTGTTTTTTTCTTTTTGCAAGCTCTCCGCTACCATGCGAAATCCCGAGCACCAAAGTGCTTCACCTACCAGACCCCAAGCCCAACCTAAGTGAGATTCAAAATTTGGTTTTCACCAGGCAGTCTTGGGCCAAGTCCCGAACACGCCTAAGCTTTATGCTGTATATGTTTTCTACATGGACGAGATCTAAATCTTATCAAAGCCAGCCATTGTCCTTTTTTGTTCTTGTTACATTTTTTTTGCTTGAGGAAGGCACACCAGAAAGGCAAGAGGAAGCTCATAGAAAAAAAGTTTCCAGGTTCCTACTACTAAGAAAAGAGGGAAAGTGACCGAAAGGTACACCGGAATGCACACCGGGAAGCACACTAGAAGTTCGGAAGGGCAAGCGGAAGGTGACACAAGGCTGCAATAAGGTTGCAGAAGGTTTCCAAGAAACAAAAAGAAGACCGGAAGGCAGACCGGAATGTACACAGTGAGGCAAAAAGAATTTTAAACCGGAATGCATACTGGAAAGCCAGGCGGAAGTTTACAGAAGGTTACAGTAAGGTTTCGGAAGGTTCTCAAGAAACAGAAAAAATATTATATAGATTGCATAGCAAATGGGAGGATAGACATGAAATCAAACCGGAAGGCAGACTGCCAAAAAAAAGGCTCAAGTTATAGGGAACAAAGATACAATATGTCCTTTTACGTTACTAATATGTAAAGTTTACCGGAATGTTTCAAGGTTAGCAGTAGCAAAAATATCAATGTTATCAAACATGGAATTTCAGGAGAAAATATGAGAAAATTACGGTTTGCATTTTTGCACAATAGAAGTTAGAAAAACTGAGGTTCCGGTTAGTACAGGGGCATGTAAGGGTTAGAAGTGGATCTGTGGGCCAAGTATTTGCCACAAGGCTAGTGTAGAAACAGAGGAAGAAAAGTCCAGGGAGCCCAACCGGTCACCGCAGAGGAACAGCACCAAGAGGCCTCCAAGCCCTGCTAAAGCAGCAATGCCAAGTGCCACGAGGCCAGCCAGGCCAGCAGAAAATCTACGTGGCGGCTCAGTTATCACAATCACATTCGGCGGCTCCTCGGCAGCCTCAGCAAAGACAGGCTGGGCCAAGCTCTGGTATCTCTGGTCATTTTCTAAGTGCACTCAACTTTGCTTCTGGTTGAAGTTTGTCAAAAAAATGGAGCAGTGTTCATTGAATTTTGAATCCATGGAGAATAGGAATCATTGGGCGAAGAAGTCTGGGCAGCATGTGGACAGGGTTTCACCCCGTCTCAGCCGGGCGGGAAGGAGCCGATTGAAAGCTGCACCACTTGGTTGAAAGAGAAGGAGACTATGGATTTACATGCGCTTTCACAAGGCTGATAAATATATATATATATTATTGAAACAAGAAAGAACAAATCTGACATCTGCGATGGTCATTAGTTCACTTTTATATTGCCGAGTGGTACCCGCAAATGTATGACATACTGACATACCAAACCTCGACTCGTCCGCGGCTAATTCAATAGTCAAGTCTCCATTGGGGAGGCCAATCTTGGTGAAGCTGCTTCTTCACACTTGGAGCCAAAATAGCAAGTGAGCTAGACAGCAGGCTGCCATTTGTCGTTCATCTGTTTCTTTCAGGCCGGCTTGGCCATGTCGGTTCTATGTTCGATATGTGAAAACTATTTTGGATGTTCAAGAAAAACTGCTATTGATTCAGCAACCCTTGGCAACCCTTGGCAACGTCCAGGCCGAATTGAATAATGAGCGGCGAAGCGTGCATTCAGGCGCTTTACTTTTCTCGTCAGCAGATCCAGCGTCACAATCTACTAATGCTGCAGGATCCGCAGGATCCTGCGTGAACAACTGTGGTTTCGACAAATTGCCAGCAATCTGGACTGGCTGTGCAAGCACTTCTTTCAAAGCTCGCCTATCTTAGCGGGCTCGGAAAATGTTGATTCGTGGTATGCACATCCGTCTGGCCCTTTTCAATGTAAGTTCTCTTGCTGGTTCGAGCTGAATCTCGAACATTGCAGGCCAAAGCTTTCCAGTGACCTCGGCAACGTCTGCTTCAGCGGTCCAAGAGCTATTCAGCCACCACAAGCCACCACTGCACATTTGCTCAGCAGAAGGCAAGCTGAGTCATCTGAGTCCTTGACAAAGATTCGTTTGCCATCAGGGTCCCATGCAATTCCATTGAGCACATCTGGCCCCTCTCGACCGGCAGCCTTTGCTTCTGCAGCAGCACCTCAGAACTGCTTCTTGTTGGGTCTTGGCCGCTTCCATGCTGTTTCAAAGCTTGCATCTGTTGTCATACTTTCGAGCCAAAGAATAAAAAAAAATCAAGAGAGCGCTTCGCAACTCGCTATGTATAGTCATGTGTCTTTGTCTTTCCAGAATGCCATTCAGCACAAGCCAGCCAGTAACTGAACCAGACGTCTTGTCAATCCGGGCCAAGCAATCCGTACCATAGACATTGGCCCACAACTCATTGCCTGGCGCGCTAGCTTTGCGCCGGAAATTAAGTTCAGCTTAGAAGCAACTTTAAAAACGCCAACTAGCGCCGCCTATCATCTCGAGTTCGTTGATCATTTCAATGAGCTTCCCATCATCTGTAACGCTTACCTTATCTTCGCCAGTAGCAACGCGAAAACACCCTCTGAACCAAGAGATTCTTAGGCGGGGGGGCACAGGTTGGAAGATCTAAAAATGCCTTCCATCTAGTTGCCAGGTTGTTTGAAGCTGGTTTGTCATCTCGTAGTTACAGTTGATAATGTCGGCGTCGTGAATCACATGTTCATCTTGACACAGGAAAGACTGACAAAATACGTGCTTATCTTCCTATATGTTCATGATTTAATGCATAGCTCACTTTTGCCATTTTTCATCACTTTATGCCTCCCTTGCAGTTGGCAGTGTCACCAGACTTTACCCTCAGTCAGATAAGGGCCTTCCAAAGATATGCAGGGCGCAAACAACACATGACGCTGTCATGGTTTGAGATCATTTTTTCAGCTTTGGGCCTTTCAATCCACAAACCGTGTTTCAATGTTTATCGGTAATTAAAGTAAGTTAAATGTAGAAGAGTTCACTCTGTTCAAAATGCCTTCTGAGTGCGGTCTTTGCTCCTAGCACTCAGCCAAGCCATGTCTCAAGGTCAGCGTAGGGCCTGTTAACCCCGAAACGCATATCCTCCCAAGACCTACAAATGTGCACATTTTGGAATAATTTGAAGGTCATGTTTGGCACTATGTCCGGCCAACACCCGCACGTTGCCACAGGATCTTCCTGGAGCAAACCGTTGCGGTAGAAAGTTTTGAAGGCCTGAACCCCGTCTGCTGAGTCTTATCTAACGCCTTTTGTACGGCTATAAGGCTATACGACACATGAATCTATCATACGCAAAGAGCTGCTTGCTTGTCCATGAAACTGGCAAACAAACAACACAAAGAAAGCGACAGAACATGAGCATGATTCCCCTACCCAGAAATCAACAAACCTGTGATTAACAAGCATACTGAATATCCCTTTTAGGATTCTCGTGGCAACGTGTGGCACGATGTTCAGCAATTTGGGTTTCCTTTTCATCAGAAACAGAGGGGAAAGTGGGAGCTGAATAATCCCCGGTTAAATGTATGGTGCTTCGTGTTTTCAATCGCTTGCGCGTGAAACACGTTGAAAAACAATATGCAGCACATTCGGTGTGGACAGATTTGCTTCATATTAATGTTCGGGTTTTTAGTTTTTCCGATCTTCCTCCTGTCCGTTTCTTGGAAACCGATTCACAGGAAGGACAGAATCGCATGTCAAAGCAAAACAATCGCGAGAAATTTGCGGTCGCACAATGATCTGATGCTAAACAGTTACATGGTAATTGACTGCGTTTTAAAGACCTTCAGTCTATTCTGGCAAAATGTTCAGAAACATCGAGAGATATCAAAAGTGTCTGCTGCGTCGTCCTTCCAATGTTGCACTGCGAAGCAAACAAATCTTACCAAGCTGCGCGCTTCTTGATCCGAAAGTCCTCTGGGTCAAGAAATATTAGTTCATGACCGCTGTCCTCAAATCATCGAAATTGGCTATTGGCTTGCCAGCAGCACAATGCTTTGAAACCAATTCCTTGCATTGTCCAGGTTCGATCCAAGACTCAGTCACAAGCAGTTGCTCTCCATCAAATTCAATCCTGATCAGGTCTTTTGATTCTGGAAAAATGGAACAATTACTTTACTTCGTGTGATCCCTTCAAGAAAATATGTATATATATAATATACATACATATATTCTGACATGGTCTGACACGTATATATTCTGATGTGTGTTTTGACACAAAGTATGACAGATATTTTGACATTTGTCTAGACATGTATTCTGACATACATTCGGACATATATGCAGACATCTATACCGACGTATACTCTTGACATGCAGTCTCACGATATTCTGACACCTATGCTGGCAGGCATTCTGACATGCAAATTTACATGCTCGTGTGACATATCATACTCTGACGTGTATTGTGACATTTGTTCTGGCATGTGATCTTGCAAAGCTCATGTCTAGTATAGGCCATCCATTTATAGGGATATCATGGGATATCTAATTTTGACCCATGTTCATATTACATATATATATATATATCATATGTTCTGATATGAATTCTGAAACTTATTCTAGCAATTGCTCTAGCAAAATTCATGGAGTTCCAACATACGCGCATTGCCTGATGCATAGGCAGGGGGGCCGGTGCCACACATAGTCCGGAGGCTTGGCACAAGGCCGAAACTCCAGTGGCCCAAACAACGGCTGACACCAAATCTAGGGACCCTCATCTCACAGGTGGGGAACGAAACAAACAAAGCATGAATGATGTGGGTAAATGGTCACATTGGCTTGTTCACTGCACATGCAAGTACTTGATCAATTCCGTACAAGCTTCCCCCAACCATCGTTCAAAGGTGTGCGAAACCTCCCAGCTTGTCTTAGCTGCTCATGTTCACCAGCTTGAACATAGTAGCCTCACTGGCTTACCATGGAGTATCAGGAAGTGGCTGCAAAAAAAGACACGAAGTTCTGAAGTACTCCCTAAACTAGTTTTTCGTCATGTCTCCTCACTTGGAATATCTTGGAATGCTGACAACACCCACCTCCGGCTGCACTGCTGGGACTGGTGAATCTATGTGAATCTGCAAAACATCCCCACAAAGCTCGCAGGATGCACTGGTCTGTGACAACTTGGACCAAGTCACGGATACCTTCACCCGTTCTCCAAAGAAGCTGCAAGAGTTGCCCCCTGCGAGCTCTGCCGTGTCGCTGAAACAAGTTTCAAAAAGGTTCAGGAGTTCAGGACACTGTGGAAAAGCAGGTGCTCAGTAGGTATGTAGGCATGATATGGCATGATAGGAACAATGGAAAGATAAGCAGGCCAGGTCTGGTGTCTGACCATGACATGGTTCAGAACTACCGACATCCTCTTGACCTCCTTGCGCAACTCTTTCCGGACAAAAGAATTAAAAAGAACAAACTGCATCAATCACCAGTAGCTACCCAAACACTATTCAAGACCTGTTCCTGGCAGGTTTCAGAAACCTGTGCAGCCATCAAGATCAATCGATCTAGATGATTCAATAGCACCACTTACCACTCGCTGTACCACCCCCCTTCCCTAAAAGCTGTGCTTTTGCCTCTTGTGTACCAAACCTTCTCCGAAATCTCTCCCATCCAAGTCCAGCTGTCTGACGACGCGCACTTCTCCTTTCTTTGCATGTGCTGCATTTGCAGCATGCCAATATTTTCAGAATATATGCAGCATGTCCAGCATGTCGAATGAATAGGTTTCAAGGTCTCACTGTTCGGTTCGTGGATTGAAGGGCGTAGCATAGGTGCTTGCATAATTACTGCGTGTGCTCTGTCTCACAGCGGCCACGCTGCCCCAGTGATTTTGCTCAATTTCCCCGCCTTTTTCCAAATTGATCGTGGCACCCCCATGAAATTCAGATCAAGGAGGCACCAAAACTGTTGCCCCGCATTGTATTTGCAAGATTGTGGACCTTGAATCTCTCATTTGCAGCATTTGCAGGATGTTGGAGCCAGCACCTTTACTTTGTACGGCATTATTTGCAGCATCTTTAAGCTGAAGTCTTTTATTGCGCGGGATCTGCAACAACAAGGGTTTGCCGCGCAGGTTTGGCCAGAGTTCACAGTTGTTTTTTTGGAGATGTCTGAGAAGTCAGGTTTGTGTCACTGTGTTTGCAGCCGTTTGTTGTTTCTATTTGGGTTGGTTGTTGCAATGTTTCAGCGGATTCGGTCATTCAATCATGTTGTCAATTTTCTGCAACTTTCATTTCCATACTTTGAAGTAATGTGTGGTTAAGAGATGTGAAGAGACATTTTTTCCCCAGATTTGGCGGAAAAAATGATTGTTGAATGTGAGAACAGAGATCATGTTTGCATCCTGTAAGAATGTAACCGTGTTCTTCGGTGAACAGTACATTTATCTTTGGATATGGGCAATGTTGACTTTCGACGCTCTGTTCGAATGCTTGATTCTTCTCTCTGCTTGCGGGATGAATTGGACTGGAAAGCTGTTTTGGCAGTCTGCGTTGTTTCATTGGCCTCACTTGCGTCCAATTACGCCGGGGCTTGAGATGGAAATCTCCATGAAAAGGGAGTAGCACAAGCAACTGCAACGCATTCTCAAAGTGAATACACCCCTGTACAGAAGCTCAACATCAAAAAGGTTGCCAAATGCACGCTGAAGAGGATGAGAAGAGCTTGTAAGATTTCCCAGAAATCAATCACAATGGTGGGAGATGACCAACATTGTGAATCTTTGGCCAGCATGGTGAGGAGATCCATAAAGAGCCGGTAAGTTGGGTACAAACACCGGCGCATACCTTTGAGAAAGGTGTATATATATATATATCGATACACTTGGTTTGTAGTGGCTGTCTCGGCACCCGGGGCTCGAAAATACTGTGAATCTGAAGGCAGAATTCAGAATCGCATGGAATGCTACAAAGACATGTCATGGCTGACTCCAGACTCAAGGTGAGAAAGAAAAAAAACAGGGAACCATCACACCTGACTTGCGGAAACAACCACCTGGAATGCACAACAAACGAGCGTTATTACATGTTATTACACCCAAACCCCCCAACCCCACCAATTGGTCTGAACCTCAAGGACATTGTTGGAGCTAAAATGTGCAAATTGCATCGGATTTGCGACATGTTTAAGGATCAATCTGCTACTAGCACGGTCTTTGCATCATGTTCAAACCAACATATTTCGTTTTTGGAGTCTGAATCTCTGATTGCTGCTGCATAATATGTGTACCTGTAGGATTTAAATTTTGCAGCTAGAACTTGTCATGTGGCTTGTATTTGCAGCACATTGGGATAAAAATATCCTGGTCTTGTTGCTTGCTATTGGGTATAGTCCTTCTTAGCGTTCTTGTTGTTATTTTGATGCTTTTAGTTCTTCCATGTTTCCCTTGTTGCTAGCACAGTAGCAGCAAGTGGTGATTGAGTCTATTTGCACTCTATTTGCAACTCGTTCTCCTACAAAATTGCCCCCTGGGGGCAAGCGATCCCAGATTGGAGTCACAAGCGAACCAAATTAGGAGGTATCGGTATAAGCGATCCCCTGCCCTACTACACAAGCCGCTACCGTTTCAGTACCATGGCCATCATGTGCCTATAGCATTGCAGAATTCTAGGCGTAACTATGGTAATGCACTGAGGTCTGATCCTGCGTTGCCTTGAAGTACACCATTTTGAATCTTGCAAAATACATTTATTATATAAACATTGTGCGCATATAGAAATCGGACATGATTGTCATCATACGACATGGCAACTCTGGGGCAGCTCGACAACGACGTTTGAAAAATGTCTCGTCGTCCATCTGCCAGGAGAAAACTATAACATGCTGCAAATGGCAGGCTTTCGGAAAAAGGGCACATCTTTTGCAATCTTGTTTGGGTTGTGCTGCCCATAGTCCATTTCCATCCAGCAATCTTGACATCAAAGCGAACTCAAAACAAAGGAGTACACATGCAAGTCGGCAAGTCAGTGTCAAGGAAACCAACACACAGCAAAACAAGCTGCTTGCAGCGAAAGATCCATTTGAACCCAGTTGGAGTTCTCGAAGAGTTGACTCGCCATACAGACCAGTTGATTCAAAAAGAGATCCATTCGACCACAGAAGACCTTGAGTGAAAGCATTTGGATCATGCTGGAATCTTCTGACCTCAGGTCTGCGATGCTTGCAGCACATTGCAGGTCGATCTTCGTACGCGTCTCTAATCTATCGTTTCTGATGCACGTTCACACGCCGTGCACGACTCTATCCGTGTCTTCTCCCTCCACCCTGCTAGAGTCTGCTAGAGGTACTTTGACGATTGCAAAGTATCAGGTAATCCAAATTCTAAGCAGCAGACCACTCGATATGTGTAGACGGCAGGTTCGCTAGGACTTGTCACTGAAGCTGAAGCTCTTTGGCGAAGAAGACCTGCAGCCAAGCAAGTGCAAGTCTCCTATCTTTCCAAATATCCAAAACCGTTACAACCACATGGCGCTGAAACGAAGATAGAAAACATTGCCTCAATTCACGATAAGGAACCGTACAAACAACGAGATAAAAGTAACAATATTTCCAATAGCAACCCAAACTCAACAAATCTTGCTGAGACTAGAAAATGTAGCAACAACTTACTCAAATCACGTCAAAACCGGCATCCCCTCGTGCTATGGCTGCAGGGCCGTGCTGTTTTTTTTTCCCATAGCTTTCGATAGCAAGCCTCTCTATGTGTTGATAACCATCATACCACTTCCATTTTGATCCTTTGCGATGAGAACTAATTACTGTATTCTTTATATATATATATACATACATATTATATATATATACATATTATATCATACTATTATAATGTAACTGTAGTCTATGGTTATATATATATAAGTATATATACTTACACACATACATATGTATCTATGACACCGTATACAAATCCGCGTCTGTATAGAGAAAGGCGCTGTTGTTGTGTGTCCACCACCTCCGTCACAATGGTCCAAATTACATCAAAATGACGCAACCACATCAGACCTTAAGGAATGTCAATTCGGTCAATCTGACAGGCCTCTTGTCTTGAAACATATTGAAACATCTTGAAACATCTTGAAACCACAAGGTATCAGAAGTATTATAAGTATTTTTCTTCACCTGCATTTGTTTGATTGTTTTTTTGCAAGCTCTGTGAACTACGTCCGAGGCATGTTACCCTGATTAACGTCTGAGCTAGTGGGCCAGTTGGGACGTATCAAAGGGAGCCGAAGCTGAGCACAAGCAAATCAAATAGTCAAGCCCGGGTAAAAAAAAACGTTTTTCGAAAAAGCAAAGATGATCAAAGAGCGTCAAAGGAGTAAGTAAGACGCCATCAAGATATATCAAGTATATACTTCACCTACCAGACCCCAAGTCCAACGTATGAGTAATTACTTAAGACTTAAAATCCGCCCACACCGCTTTGGCGGTGAAGGCGTGCTTATTGGGGGGAAACAGCTACACTAAATGCTCAATCACATTTGTTAATATAGCAGTCGCTATATCAGCTTTAGCTGGGGGGGGGGCCAAAAACGGTTTCGCACCGAGACCAGAATTAGGTGGTGTTTCCGACATTTTTCGAGGATTTTTGGGTGTCTGAGCGCAAGAGGGTATTGAAATGGAATTTTGGGTCATTTTGGTAGCTTTCCGGCAATGGAAAAACGGCCAAAAATGAAAAAAACATTGTACATAGCAAGATTTTGCAGGGTTTTTGGATGCCAGAGCATTGAAAACACTGCAAAAACAAGTGTTTTGGACTGACGTTATAGCAAAAAACGTGTAAATTACCGTATGCTTGACTGGAAACATTACAAAAACACTGTCAAAAGCAATGTTTTGGAAGGATTTACTGCCTTTATGGCAAAAAACGTGTAAATTACCGTCTGTTTGACTGGAAACATTGGAAAAACACTGTCAAAAACAATGTTTTGGAAGGATTTCTATATATATATGTTGGAGTTGGCTACCGGCATTGGAACATGGAAAAATTGAAGAAAACACTGTAAATAGCGGTATTTTCAACGGTTGGGGAGATAAGGGAATTGGAAGCATTGTCGAACATGATGTTTTCGACCGGTTTTATGGCGACAAAAGTGTAAAGTACCGTGCTTTGAAGGAAACCATTGCAAAAACATGGAAACACATTCAAAGAACACGGGATTTGGGGGACTATCTAGGCGTCGTTGTCTAGCTATTTGAAATTCCGCAGCTTGGAGAGCCTCCAAGGGAGGGAAAAGTGAAAATTCCATAGCTTGGGAAGCTGTCACAGCGGGGAAAAGTGAAAATTCCCTAGCTTGGGGAGCCCCCACGGGGGGGGAAAGTGAAAATTCTTAGCTTGGGAAGCTTCACGGGGGAAAAGTGAAAATTCCGTCGCTTGGGAAGCCCCCACGGGGGGTGCGGTGTGGGCGGCAATATCTTTAAATCGTGTTGTCTCCAGGCAATCTTGAGCCAAGGGGTTGGCAAAAGGGCTCACGCAGAAACAGAGGAAGAAAAGTGCATAACGTTTCGCAGGGAGCCCAACCGGTCACGAGGAACAGCACCAAGACCGACATGATCCGACAAGATCCGACAAGGCCTCCAAGCCCTGCTAAACCAGCAACGCCAAGTGCTACAAGGCCAGCAGTAAATCTTCGTCGAGGTGGCTCATCTACAGTTGCATTCTGTGGTTCCTCACAGAAAGAGACACAAAGGCTGGGCCAAGGCTCTGGGCATTTTTGAGAACACTCAACTTCCCTTTGCCAAAGCACGGCAGCTGTTGGAAAACATCAAGTAAACAGCACGTAAACAATCTTGATGTGATATGAGCTTAAGTGTGGTCCGGAAATGCTGAAACAATGATCACAATGCTTGCAATCTGCAGGTTGCGAAGCAGAAACTCCAAAACTGCAACGGGTACTATGCATCCTCCAATAAAAGATGCATAAAATTGCAAAGATACAGCACAATATAGCACAATACAGCATTGTCAGAAAGTGGAGAATCACGTATCCTTTATGTATGGTGAGTTCCTGACCTTTGCAATCCCAACACCTGTTTCTGAGTAAGGCCAAGCTTCGGCTTCATCTGCCCTGCTCCGTTTGCGTACGCGAGCTTTGTTGGTCATGGCTTTCCACTGCGCTCAGCGTGCAGGAGTGCTACCACGATCCATCACAAAACTGGTTACTTTGTGGTTGCTGTGAGATTGGATCGTTGTGCACCGCATGATTTGGAGGTGCTATTGATGCTTTGTGCAATCATCATATGCCGCAACCATCTTGCCCTGATCGACCTCTGAACCATTTTGCGGTGTCTAACCACCTAAAGTATGGGGATCCTCATCCATTGACAAATTGTTGGGGATTCCCATCTGATCAGATAGAACATGATAGAACTATCCCCTGCAATTGCTTTTGTATATACTGTTTTTGCCGCATGGTATGCACTGTCTGCTGCAGGTCAACTCGTCGGACCTTTCGTTGCACAATTCTCCATGCAAACTGTTGGCTTGCTGATGTTTGTTGATACAGTGTATAGATATATGATGATATATGATGATATATGATGATATATACATATATTGCTTTCATGTCTGAGGATATGATAATTCGATTTTAGATGCTCATGCTCAAATCAGTGAGTAGTAAGGAGTTTGATCTCCCTAAGCAGCTACAAGTCTTGTGGCGGCGTGAAATACAAAGTGTGTGTGTGTGTGCCTCTGTGGCTCTGCTCATGCGGAGGTATGCAAGCGGGCGAGTGAGGTATGTGGGATTGTGTACAGGGAGTACTTGTGTGCCAAGGCATGCCCAGTATGGAGCACTGTTTCAATTCCTAAAAGTGCTCAAATGTTCTCAAGGAACATCAAGGAACATTAACGCCAACAATCTGATGTGATATGTGTAACCGTATCTCAAAGGTATCCATGAAGCTCGGACCCGTCAAGCTGCTCAGGTTGGGACAGTTTGAATGGTTCGCACTCGGCCGTTGCAGCGCGCCTTGCAAAGCTCCAGGCTTTGCGATTGAATCGTTTATTGAGTTTACTGCATTGCGCCTTTCGCAAAATTCAAGTCCACTAAGTGTATCTATATATATATATACATTGACATGTAATTGAACGATCTGCTGAAATTTCTGAAATACTTGAAAGATCTACCCAAAGATCACATAGTTCAAATATATCAAAACAAATGATCTTTCTGTTGGTCTGGAGCTGATGCCTGACACAATCAAATATTCTCAAGTACTCAAGTATTCCAATGTCGTTTTGCTCAGGTGTGTCTGCAGCTTAGGACTCTTTGCTGCGGCCCAAAACAAGCTGGAGTCTTTGCCCAGTTTGACGTCAATCTTTGCATGCCCTTTAGAGATATTTAGATCCATATATTTATTGTGCATAAATCTACGAGTATGTATTATTCTATTCTAAAGCTATGTACAGGTCAAGAAAGCCAAAGGTGGACAAGCTGGCTGTGAGCAGGTAGTGATTCATCTTCCCGAGTGGTGCTGCAGAAGCCAGTCATAAAGATCTGATGTTGCCTTGCAGCACTCCAAACACGGACAAACAGTCCAAATGGCCAGACTAGGGCGAACACGATCCGTTGGACCACTCCACAGGCGGCTATTATCTTCCCCTATCCCATATTATAGATCCGCTCTAGCTGTTACACAAAGACGCAAAGCAGCTCGCAGCCAAAGCCGCAAAGGCTTCATCAAAGACTTAGAATATCTTCAACTCATGGGAATAGAACCGCTGCTGGTAGACAACAGGATATTTGGCCAAAGACTGAGAAACTTAAAGTATTTTGATATCGTATTGTAATGCATTATGATATTGCATTATACTGTATCGTGATGTATGATTATGCATTGTAATGGTTTATGTTATATTATGCTTGTATATCGTATTATAGTCTATTCTCATGCCACATATTATGTATACTTATTGAATATCATTATATAGTACTTATTATACCATATTATATCATTTATATATTATTATATCTTATTATGTATCATTGTGATCAAGAGCTATCAAGACCTCCAGTGCCGGCAAGCTGCATATGCTGGGATCGTGCTTGCGTGTCCAAAGTAGTCTGGCCACCCAGGAGGCGCTGGAGCATCGTCATAGAGAGTCAGCTTAACGTCATCCTCAAGCAGTTCGGAGAAACATTGCAAAACATTGTGGAAAGCAGTGCAAAACGCCAAAGCGTTTTTAAAAGGAAAACAGAAACGGAATATAACGGAATTCCACTGAAGGATGTGACTTGAAAAGAAACCATGTTTGCTTGTTTCGAAAATAGCATAGTTTGGAAGCGCACGTTGCTGGCGGTCATTTCAATGTTCCTAGTACTGGTTTGGACGGCGCAAATAACAGGAGTGATGGGAGTGATTGTCATCTCTAGCTTCCTTCTGGATGCCAGCAAATTCCTTCTCCAAAGCACCTTTTAGGGAAGTAAGTTCTACTATGAATGGTACTTGTTGACGTCTTGTTGATGTTCCTCCGGAGTTCTGCAACAACTTAAGGGAAAGTGGTCAAATCATTGACCTTCAAACCCACAGGATCGGGGCAAAGCTGCTAGAAGGTGTCACTGTTCACCATGGCAAATGAAAATCACATGTCGTCTAAAATTCAACAAAAATTATGTAAATCAAAGATATTCAATTGATGATTTAACAAAATGAGACGGACTTAATTAAACAAGACAATGTCGTGCATATATTGCGCGGGTTCGGCGTCGAAGCTCCTTCTTCGCTCCAGCATTCCACAAGGCTTCTATGAGCTCCTTGCTGACAGCACTCGGCACGATGACGTCGTTGTTGCCATGAAAGGCCCAAATCGGAACACCTCGCAGTTCAAAACGTGCAAGAAGCCGTCAATTCATCTATGTAAACTTCACATCAAGCTGATATTGGCTGCATCACATCATACGAGTACCATATCATCCACGCTGTTTCGGCCAGTTTTTCCAACCTTGTAGTGATCTAGCGGGAGGTGCACCAGATGCCGCAACTGGAACTGCAGCTGCGAAGCCTCAAAAGTGCTCTGTAGCTGATGAAGTGGCACAGCTAATGGAAACGACTATCCTCAAGACTTCTAGGCAATGACCTGCACGGACCACAATACAAAAACATATATTATATTATACTAATTCTATTATATACATCACGAAGCCAGCTGCGCGGTGGACATGCTGGGAAGATTCTGGGAAGATTCTGGAAGATTCTGGAAGGGGGACCGTATGATGGAACATGATGGAACCGTCAAAGGTACGAGTACAGCACCAAGACACGGCCACTCGTTGCAGCAACCAATGCTCCGGCTCCACCCATTGAGTGACCCGTAACATACAGCCTGTAGGCAAGGAAGAAACGAAGAAACAAACGCGCACCTGTCCTTCATCTCGCGAACATGTAAATATATATACATATATATATACACTTATAATAGTTTGGTATGGATTGACATAGATTGATATAGTTTTCTTATATAGATTGATATAGACTGAATATAGACTAAATATATCTTAATATATATATATTATATATATACACTATATCACTATATCTATACTTATGCGAAGAAATGGGGAGGAGATGTGGTTGTGAAGATTTGGTGTCTTTTGCGCCAAAAGGTTGCCAGCAGGAACCTGCAAGGAAAAATTGGACAATGAAGCTTTGGAAACAATGCTGCTCATGTATGGAGTGACGCAGTCGATGCTGGTCAATGATGTCACAATATGTATAGACGATCATGGATGTATCTGCGTCTGTGTGTGTGTGCGTCTGTAATGCGTGCACCTTTCTGTGAGAAGGTATACCCACATGTGTATATATATATACATTATATACATACATGTATAATATATATATATATATATCGTCGTTGAATGTTCTGATTTTTGACTCATCATGACCCAGTACGTTCATCCACACGGAGGACACAAGACCCTTTTTGGGATGAGGTCGTGGTTCAAAAAGTGCCCCGCAAAAAAGGTAACTGCCCTTGACAATAACGAAATTGTCAATGCAAAGAATTGAGCTGACTGGTGAGCACATGAGGTGACTAGCGAAGGTGGAAAGGGTCATCATGCAAAGTTGACAAAGTCAGTGGTTGTGTCATATTGGTCATGTTGCCAGATAACTCATCCCAGTAAGGGATCGTCCCGCGGAAAATTGTTCCCAGGTGAAAGTCAACAAAGCAATTCAGAAATCGCAAAATCGCAAGCACATGCAGGCGTGAGTTGTTTTCCGCTAGACTCTAGACAAACAAATGGTCAAAAATTGATCTTGTACACTGCTGTGTACTGTCTCTGCGCAAATCGAAGCTTGTGCTTGTTCCAACAATCGTTTGACGACTCTCCAACAAAGTTGTGAAACAGGTGCCTTTATCATTTATCATCTTGTCTGGCCTTGTTGGATCCAATTGCAAGGACTTGTCCGCAAGCAGAAAGTCAACAAAGCGGTTAATCAGCTCCCGGTTCCATCCCTGCAACTCACACTTGGCCAGACATGGCTAGACACTTCAAGGCGAATGGATATCTTTGATACTCGTTGTGTCGCAGCGTCTTGGAGAATTTGGAATGCAAACCATTGCAAACCTAGATCTGTGATGATCTGTGCACAAAGCACCTGGGAGGTGTGAGGCGCCACCACAGCGAAGCCTGATGCGCTCGAAACGAAAAAAAACTTGCAGACTGAGGTCACTTTGAAGGCATGTCATGACATGTCTGATCTCATGGTTTTACTGACTGGACTACCGCTCCAAAATTAAGGTCTTGAATCCAGTTCTATGGGCTGAGGTGGTGACGTTCCGACAGGGTCTTGGGCGCCCTTCCAAAGCTCAATTCCACAGGTGGGGTGCCAGTAGCTCCCTCAGCTGCATTTCAAGCGCCGCGTTGCAGCTGACTATGGTTCCATTCTGGAAAGGTTGTCTGTCAATTTTTTCTGCCTTTTTCCAAAGAGCTACTTCTTTCGGGCTCTAAAGCTTGGAATTCAAAAACCCAAGACATCCGGAAACCACACGACTTACAGCTAGCGCCTCAGAGATAATGTCATGTAGTTCGCCCCTCATCTCGCCAGCTCCATGTAGATATAGCAGCAAAGGAAGCTTGGTCGGCCGCACTTCCGGAAGGAAAACCATGGCCTGTCGAAAGAGCCCAAAGAGGAATTCTCAAATCGATCGAGGTCCTACGGCGACTACGGCGACTACGGCGACTACGGCGACTACGGCGACTACGGCGACTACGGCGAATCTGCCAATGTCACTTCTTTCATCTTCTTTCCCACGGTATCCATCGGTATCCCACAGTTCCCTTTGGTTGCCAGATGTGGCCGTGCCTCGTAGCTTGATGGATCTTTCAAGGTGCCGGGTTGGAAAGACATCTCAACTTCTGCTTGCGGAGTCACCTGAGATCTCACAGACGAAATATGTCTCGCTTTCCCTGCACCTCTTAATTCAGCAAGAACATCTAAATACATCATGGAATCAAAATCCATCAAAATCCTCTAGACAACTCTATCATATGTAGATCGTAAGCATCAATGGGCCTGGAGAGATTGCGTGCTATAGCTGTTCAATGCTATTGGGCTTTAATGATATATAACCGAGTGCATTGCCGCATGTCTCTGAATGGTCTTATAGACAAACACTTTGTAGATCTTTGTAGTGAAGGTGTGAGATGGGTGAGATGGGTGAGAGCTTGCAGCAACTCTGCAACGCGGTCCCAGTGGCTCTGGAATGTACAATCTCTGGGCCAAGGGCTCCTCCACAAGCTACCAGAATCAGCCCTGCAAAGCCCAATGCCTGAGCTGCGATTCCGGCGCCAAATGCACTCGGGCAATTGGCATCCACCGTATCCACCCCATAGGAACGGCCCCATAGTATGGAGTATGGGCCCCATGGCAAACACATTTAGGCCCAGACTCCAAGAAAGGAGGCGCAGGGACGAAGAATTGTCATCTTTTCATGTTCTGCACACCTAAGATTTCTGGGGCCTACATATGTAAAGCTTCGATTAAATTGCATATATTAACGTTTCAAATGGGGTTCAGACCGGTAAACATGTGTTCGGCACCACTTAGCCAGTATCCTGCTGCCCTATGCTTGATTATTCTGTCTCAATGACGAAAATCTCTATCTCAGTTTCCTCAGCCATACAGCTGCACCGAATAGCAAATCAGCATTGCAAGAAATCATGGCGTTGAATCAACATCAAACTAGCGAAAGATCTGCTTCCGGAAACCAATTGCTGCACAGCTCATGCCAGTCCACTACACTTTCTGCAAGTCCTGGGACTTTTTGGCAAATGGAAATATTCAGCGCTGGGAAGGCCTGCTTTCTGCTGTGGCTCCATTGCATGGCTTAAACTGTCAAAAATGAATAAACGACCTGCAATGAGCTCAAACCGGCACAGTACTATAAACAATATTCATAATGTATGTTTTTGTACGCACATGTACATACATAATCACACAAAGAACATCTGAGACAGGAATGCAGCACGTTGGAGAAGTTGAGACCTGCAAGTTGCATGCTTTTGGGTTTGGCACTTGCACTACCAGTCTTGCATTGAATCAGCCTTCAGGATCCTTCAGGATCCTTCAGGGCCTTTCGGGACTTGAGCCAGGATTGCGCTGCAATCGGGCGCAGGTCGTGCCACTCTGATTTGTCTTTTGTGATTTGTGTGTTTCCATGTTTCCAATTGGTTCTAGTGTTGACACAGCCAGCAGGTGGTGGCACTTCTACGAGCTCTACAAGTGGCAGCTGTCCACGCAACTCCTGGACACAGATCACCGGAGACAAAGAAACTTTGTAGAAACTTTGTGGTAGCAGCAGCTGGCATTGAAACAGCACTTCTCCTGGGAGGCTGGGCTGCGCATCACAATCTCAACTATCACTTTGAGGCACTCCTGCAGCTTCACAGAGCTTCACAGAGCTTCACATGTGAATGTTGCCTGAAGCAAGAAGAATGTTCCAAAGCTGAGCAAAGACTGCTGTTTAAGATGGGAAAAGGTCATGTTGGGATGAGTTGATCAGAAAGCTAGGAAGGACTCCTCCAGGAAGTTTCCATTGTGTCTGCCTGGATCATTCGCCCAAATGGGGAGCGTCACAACAAAAGATACAGTGTGTATATATATATATATACATATGTATACTGTATATACATACATACAGCAGTCCGCACTTGGATATAAAATGACCCAAAACATGGTGTGTTGAAACATGTGAAACTTGTGCCTGCTCCTTGCTTAATGATGGTTGTGCGAAGACATGCCTGGCACTGGCTCTGGCAAAGTCTCTACACCCCATGGTAGGCAAATCCCTGGGATGAAGCAGCATTGAAAGTTCTGCGGAGTGCGTCAAGCTCTTGGGGCATGTATCAAACTGGATGGACCAAGTACTGATTTAGCCACAGTGGCTGCGCGTGTTCCGGCTTTCTGCATATGCGGCTGGACATCATTCTTTCCAATCCAGATCGGAATGCTGACGCGCCTGCATAGCACTTGATTCCAAGAACAAACGGTAGATCCGATCTGCTCGAGTGTCTTCCAGAAGGTCCTATCAACAAGGCAAACGATAGTTACAAGAAGTTGCGAACACTTATATCTGCTACCACATTGGTCAATGTATCTGCTGTGCTTCCCGCGCGCTGTCTTGCGCTCCTTCGATGCCAGCATCGATACGACTTTGTATAGGTGAATTCCATCGAATTCAGGGCCTTGGCACATGATGGTACGTACTGACTATCGTGTTGAATATTTGGAGGGCACCTCTACGTTTATATCAGACACAAAAACAATCGAGGGAAGCAAGCCTTTCAGCACATTCACGTAGATTCGTGATTCCCCTCTGACAGTTTGCAAAATAGGGCTGGGATTGCAGCTATCGAGGATCTCTTTGAAGAACATGGCACTTTGAAGAATCTGCCAGAATGCATGATGATAAAAATGTGAAGATATTCAATGTGCAAGCTGGTTGCGCTATCATGAACTGCTCATCGCTGAAGAAAGAAATCAGAAAGGGTACAGTATGTTTTTGGTTTAATCACACCATAAGCATCAAGCATCAATAAGCATCAACAAGCATCAACAAGCATCAATAGGCATCAAAATCAATAAGCATCAAGTAGCATCAAGTAGCATCAATAATAAGAATCAATAAGCATCAAGTAGCATCAATAAGCATCAAGTAGCATCAATAAGCATCAATAAGCATCAACAAGCATCAACAAGCATCAATAGGCATCAAAATCAATAAGCATCAAGTAGCATCAAGTAGCATCAATAAGCATCAATAAGCATCAAGTAGCATCAATAAGCATCAAGTAGCATCAATAAGCATCAATAAGCATCAATAAGCAACAGGCATCAAAAGGCATCAACAAGCATGGTTGATGCTTTTCAAAACCGCTAAGGCTCTCGTTGCTGAGTTTTGCCTGGTCAGTGTCCATGGAGGTGAGGCGATTGACCTCCAATTTTCATCGGAGGCACTTGCAGTCTTGAAACTCAGAGCCAGATTGTCAGATTGATGATGCAAAAGGGTACAGGAAGATAACAGGAGGGCACCTGGTCCTTAAAGGTTTCTTTCTTGACTTCTTTGACCCCAATACGCCGGCGTCCGGTGCTGGTTCGCCACGCGCCCTTTCGTTCCTTCAGGACAAAGTACAGAGAGTGCTTTTTCCATGCTTCACTGGATTTCATTCAAAGCAGAATTAATCTGTGCACCCATCTGAAGTTTAAGGCTCAGCATCATGGTTAATCCCTCCCAAAGCCTTCATCACAGCAGCTGCACAAGGCTTTCCAGTATGGTCCTGAACCAAAAGCCTAAGCAGAGGTACTCACAGTTGTTTCTTGCACCAAAACTGACAACATGCACAGTTTCCAGCTGGATGCCGTGCCCACAGGTCTTCTCTGTGCAACTTGAAGTTTGATTGACTCGTTTGGCAAAAAAAAGGTCACACTTCTGGACAACCTCTGTTCAGGGCCATACGTGTCCTTAAAGATTGCATGTTTGTTCTCCGCAATTGTATATTTATTATATTTGAACCTTGCTTCCTCGTTTGCAACGGAAACTAGGTAAACAAGGAGGAGATGAGAAAAGGCACTGCTGCAAACATAATCCAAGTACCTTTTGTACAACCAGAGCCATACGCATGGTGTAAACACCGTGTCAATCTGAAGTGTTTAGGCATTCTTTTCTGCGAAGCATTCTTGTTGTTACTTTACACTCTTCATTCCTCTTTTCCTCTTCCGGCGCCCTTGCTCTTGCCACACATCATAAATGTATACGTTGGCATACGTTGCAGAACACGCATGTTTTGCATGAACAATTTTGCATGAGGCAGTGATCCAGCCGGTGTGAGCGTCTTGGTGAACTATCACAAATGCAATGGAACGCACGTAGGCCGTAGGCTGGAAGCCCCTTTGCATTGTGGAAGATACATGGTCGATATGGACGATTAAAGCATAGGTCGATGTGAATACCGTATATACATGTTCATGGCACATGTGTATGTATGAAATTATACTGTGGAATGAATGTGATATGTTTCAATCATATAACAACTATAATAATCCATTGCGAAAGCTTTATGTGTAATGTAACGTTTGCAGTTAAGCACTTGAAAGTCTCTTCTTGCTCGGTTCACTCGATGCTTCCGAATGAGACCTCTGAACTAGGGCTGAAGAGTTTAGTTGCACTGTTGCGCAATGTTGCGCCTATCCGAATTGCAATTGAATTGGAGGCTCTCCTAACAGTTTGCCACCTTTGGATTACTGCTCAACCAATGTAGCTGATTCGTCCTTCGACATGACAAAGGAGACTTCATCTTCCAAGGTGATGTAGAACTTTTTGAATCCGTTGGAATTCCTGTGCAGAAAGTGACTTGCGGAGCTTCCGAGGGCACTGTGCTTCAAACCTGAGTCACAACGCTGTCACAGGTCCACACCTTGTATTTGCCTGCACAATTTCCAGACCTCGGCTGAATCTTCCATAAGACTTGCAATCCTCCGCACACAACAAATCACAACAAATCACAACAAATCACAACATTGATCAGTTGCTGCCACTGATTTAAGACTCAAGCACTCTGTGGACGGGCTGCCGGGATCCAGAGAGTTCATGCCTATGGGGCTGTGATTCAAAGCACGTTCAGTCTTCGAAATCGCTGACATCGGTGACCGTACGGGCAGGAGTCAGTATGCGGATGATCTGCTTATGGTGTGCATTGCTGTGCATCTTCATGAAGTCGTGCTGGTTGCTTTGGAGCCTATGACATCCGCAGCTCGAAAGAAAATGTCTTGCCCATCAGCATCGCCGAGTTTTTTAAAAAAGCCGAAGCCGCCGTAAACGTTTACGATGCGGCCCCTGATCGAACGACAGTCACACCAAAAAAACGAATAATGGTAGAATAAAACCACACATATTTGTAATATTTGCACTAGCGTATACGATTTCTGAATATGTGATGCGCTGAGACTCAGCCAATATTGCCGCTATCTACAGTGTCCGATGTGGCGTTTGTTGGTTTTTGCATGCTCAGGGAACTAAGAAACTGGCCACAGGCAGCTTTCCTGGTCTTGCGGAAGTTCCTATCAAAGCATCAAAGTAGCTTGTACTTGGTTCTTGCAAACATCTCAGACATCTCAGCACAAATATATGTAGTACCAATCAATCTAGTACCAATGCATCTAGTGCCCAACCCAGAGCTTGTTTGTGCCACCAGCAAAAAAAGCGCAGCAAAGGCTGCAAGAGGGTGTTTAGTTGGAAAAAAGCTTTTCTTGCTTCCATTCTGGAGATTTGTCCCGTCCTCAGGCACCTCCTGCAAAAAGTCACGGGCACTTTTGAATCTGTTTGGCACATGTGCTGGCAGTATCCACATTGTCAGCAGCATAGCTCCTTGGTTTCTTTTGGTTTCGCTGCTCCTGAACGTGGAGAAAAGAGGCACTAATGCACTTTCCTACTCATCTTCATCATCATCATCATGATGATTGAAGAAAAATAAGAAATGTCAAGATAGGTATGGTGTTGTACAGTGGGTAGAGAAATATTCAGAGCTTTTTAGATTCATGTGAATTCAGCAGATATATATATTAGTACAAATTAGCACAGATTCGCACAATACATCAGAATACATCTTTGTAGCACAAAGAAAGAGGAGTCCGATGCCTGCTGGTGGAGCTAGGGAACCTCCCGGTCTCAGAGACCTGCGCAAAAATTCAGGTCTTCGCAGAGCAAGCGCAGAGCAAAAATACGCAAAGAACACGACGTGTTGAACACGAATAGTCAGATTTTCTGTCCACGAAGAGCACAGTGAATGTAGAGCAGTTCCTGAGACAGAGACACAGGGCCACTGAGTTTGCCAGAACCTCCAAGTCTGGAGGTTGGACCTGCTTGCACGGACGAAATTTTGCACATGCCTTCAGGTGTGAAGCTGCAATGCACAAACTGACTTAAAGCCGTTCATGTCCATGTTGAAAAGCTATCCTTGCCCCAAGAGTAAGTTTCGAAGTACAGAAAGCAATGAAGGGTCTCTTCAGTCCGTGAGACCAGCAGTTTGTAACAATCGCAATATTCCAAAAGAGAATCACTGTGGCGCTTTCTGGGCAGCTAAAAGCTCATGTGCGTGGTGACTTCAAATGTCTGTGAGTGGGAAGCGCTTTTTCGGATGCTGACCACAAGGTCTGAGTAAAAAAAATACCGTCCAGCTTGTTTCCACTGAACGGAAGTCCGCACATACGCGCGGTGCAATCACATTAATGATAGTTACAATCGTTTGAACGGTTTCTCTTTTTAAGTAGGCCAGAAGAGACCTAGATCCACCAAGTATATCAAAGTATCACGAGCTACAAGAGCTTCAGAGGTGCCACTCATGGCGGAGCGGCTGTGATACTACCGACGTGCCATGGAGGCCAAAATTTGAACGTTGCCCGTCCTTGGGAATGCCACTTGAAAACAACTTGTTTTCAATAATTCAATGACAACAACCAACAAGAAACGCATTTGTAAATCCACAAATGCATCAAGGGCTAGAACTAAGGACGTCGCCAATGATGTTCTCGATCGGGAGGAAGCCCCAAACATGACCATCCAAAGATTGATTCCTATCACAGTTCCAACGCTCACCGTAAACTCCACTGAAGTTCGTGTATATAAGATAAGAAGCCTTCAGTGTCACCGAAAAACCCTGTTCAACCCGTCCTGTTGTCACCCAGCACAAGAACACATCCTTCAGGAACTTGGACAGGTCCGAAATCATATCTTGCGGCCTTCCAGGACTTACAAAGCAACAGTGCCCGAAGCGCAATAGCGCAGGGCTTTCAAGAGATCCTAGCGCGATGCCGCAAGGACGGCAACAAACAAAGGCCTCATTGGTGAAGGGTTCATCCTGAGCCTCGCCATTGAGGTACCTGAAAACTAAGGAGCGTTTTGAATCGAAACTCAAATTGGGCTAAATAGTAAATAGACCTACATACAAGAAGGCTTCCAATACAGTACCAACAAATGCCTACAACCGACAAGGTTCTTTGGTTGGTTCTTTAGTTCTTTAACTTCAGCCTTGAAAGGGCAGTGATAGCAACTGCTGAAAAACGAAAAGCTGAACAAGCAAGGATGCAAAGGTCACAAGGTTCCTCCATTCTTGATCTCAACAGTGTCCCCCGCAACTGCTACCTCAAGTGCTGGTAGAAGTCTCAGTAACTTTGCAATAATCAGCAATCCCGTCATTCAACACGGTCGCTGCCTAAGACAAGTCTTTTGTGCATAATTTTGGTTTGAGGTGCTACACAAAATATAGTCTACAGAATTGACATGCGTAGCACAATTGGCATTGTTCGAGTAAACGGTTTTATCAAACAGGGGCATGATGTGATTGGAAGCATCACATAGCAACAGATCGCACCTCCAACTGCTGGTTTGTGGTGTAAAAGCACGTCGATCCATGATGGGATTTGGGTTGCATTGGCTGTAGATTCTACTGCACACGGGGGAAACCAGGAAAAATAACAAAAAGAAAACTGCAACCCCCATGTCTGGAGAGTGGCTTAAGCTACTACATACAACTTACATGTACATATGTATGAATTACATACACTACATGATAGCCATATATATATATACAGAATTATACATATATGTGCGTGCATGCACGTATGCACGTATGCACTTATGCACGTATGCACGTATGCACGTATGCATAATGTATGCAGGTATGCAGGTATGCAGGTATGTACGTATGTATATACGTATGTACGTATGTATCTATGTATCGATGTATCTAGGTATCTAGGTATCTAGGTATCTAAGTATCTATGCATCTAGGTATCTATCTATCCATCCATCCATCCATCTATCCATGTATGTATGTATGTATGTATGTATGTATGTATGGATGTATGTATGTATGTATGTATGTATGTATGGCACCACTCCTGATTCCAAAGAACATGCCTTCAAAAAATGGTGCAAAACTGATCATTCCTAAAAAATTTCAAGCAAATATCAGTAAGTTGCTTGAAAAAGTAGGTTTTGGGTGTGGTACCATACATATATATATAGTGTGAATAAGAAACACATGTATTAAATACATATACATAAAATAATGCATAGCTGCATCACACGTGTACACATTCATCTTCTAAGAAGCCGGCTATTCTCTTGATGAGAGCATCACCAGATCGGTCGCCACCTAATAGGGCTGTGAACACATGCACACAAAATCACACAAATACATCTTTAATCCACGAAGGTTTCAAATGTTTCAATATGTGTCAACGGTCTACGGTCTTGTTCAACGCAAAACACTATTGGACATGTTGATCAGGTTAAGGATCGTTCAGGACTCCACCTACAACTTCGTTGAATTTGGGCGGTGGATTGAACACCACCACATCTCTCCTCTCATATTCACGCCTCAGATGGACTTGAGACATCAAGCTTGGAACGTGGTTTGAATCACGTACACAGTCAGGCAAAGCCAATCGCGCCTTTCAATTGCATCATATTGCATGAATTTCACCATGAAGAATACTCGAGAGCATCTATCAAATGTTTGGACTGAAAGCCCATGGCCATCGCTTCGAGACTTTGTCAACCGTCAGCTGATCGCCTGAAACGAGCTCTGTGTGATCAGTTGCGTCTCAAAGAACTGGAGCACACCAACATACCAGACTCAGGTGAATTAGCCAAGTCATGCCAAGTCATGCCAAGTTGCCAATATCGAAATTGGGATACATAGAGAGGGACGGTATGAAGCGAGGCCTCAATGCTCAATGCCCACGTTTCCATATGTGTCCATGCTTTGTTTATGACACAATGACACACATTTGCTCAGTGAGTTGGGTCACGTTGGGTCACGCACTCTACAAGAAAGCCTCGAATCAGCAAAGCCTTCAGTGACTGACAGTGACTGGAGGTGCGGAAAGAGAGGTGTGGAACGTCCAACTCTGAATGAATAGGGAGCAAGATGGAGCAAGGCAAGGTCTAGCCATTCAGCTATCGGTCTAAGGTCCTCTCACAGTAAAAGTGTATTGTTAATAATTACATTATGATTACATTACTACAATGTTACATTTTCGGTCTCCCAACTTGGCGGCCACCTGGTACGAAGTGTTCAAACTCAAAATATGCGTCGGGAACATCCAACCATTCGTGCAACTTAAGAGGAACTTGAGATCAAAAGTGTCTGGCTGACGTTGCTATACAGTAGAAAATTGCCCAAAAGGTTTTCAACAGGGTGCAAACCAGGGGACCAAGATAATGAAGCCGCCCAGAATGATCCAAGGATTTGTTTGCAAACTGTTGTTTAAAAAAGTAGTCTATTTCATTGCCCTAGTTTCATCTGTTTCTGATCGAGGGTTTTTCCATGACTCAGGTTTCATTGCCACATGTTCGGTTTTTGTTGTAATGTTTTCTGTGAAAAGGATTGAAAAGGGCTGAGAACATTTCACTGCCAAGCCAAGCTCATTCTTTTCCTGATCAAAGATTCATTTTTTGAACCTGGAAATGGGTTCTTTCAACGAAATGCTGGTCATCCCACCAAGGAAAACCCTGGGACCAATGAGAGAAGACACGGACTGGGACGGAACCTCTAGGTCCAAGGGGTCCCCAAAAACGGTGTGAAACCCTCTCTTGCGATGGAAAACAAAAACTACAACGTGCTGTGCAACACTGTGTTGAAACCCTCTCAGCCCCAGCTTCAGAAAATATGGTGAACCGCTCTTTTGGATGAGAACGTCGCAGGAGGTAGCAAAAAATCAACAAGTAGATGTGGATAAAATTTCAAAATCTAATCGGCTAGAACCAGTCAGATTTGGAAAGACATGTTGTTTTCTTTCACTCTTTCGCCTGCATTCAATTTGTTGGCTGGCAGAAAATGGACGGCACAGGCTTCAAGTTCAAAATAATGTTCCAACCACCTCTTCACCAATTGGTCAAACATGTCAGCAGAGTATGCGTGACAGTTGTCCGCTAAAATGCGAAGACCAGGATAGAGCACAAAGATGAATGCATGGAATCTGCCTTTCGGATCCTTACGGAAGGTTCAGTGCTTGTAGATGCTTGTAGCGTCCTTTTGTCGTTGAACAATATTAAACATTGGAAACTACATCCCCTGATGAGTTTTCGGCTTGATATCAGAAAAACGGAAAGGATGAAACAGCGTCGTTGCGTTCCCTGCTCGGTTGTGGCTGCGGAGTTGGGCAGTCCACTTTGTTGGTTAAAGCTGCAAGATGATCCAAAGGATTCAGCCAGGTACGATCTTCCTATCACAGTCAGGTCTGTCAGATAATAAGGGCAGCACTACTGTTAAAGATGTGAAGAAAGTCTTGACGTCCTGCCACACGAAGCGGTTAGTTTAGATACTTTCAAAAAATGCCTTCAACTCAATCACTTCTTGGAAATGCAGTCCTCCTGAAACTCAGGGTCCTCCTGCCAGGGCCAGCTAATACAAATTATGTGAATCTCTTCGTAGGTATCGCATATTCTCGCATTGCATTGCTTCTCGATATTGTGTGGCGGGGCATTAATCATTACGGATGCAGCTCGCAGACTCTTGAGTGAGCTAGGTTGCTTCATGCTGTTTACCAGGAAGCTCAATACCGAGATAGAGAGGACCGTGGACATCCTACAATATCCAGAATAAGAACTCATTCTTTTCTCGCTCTTCTCGAGAAGACTCACATAAAATCCCAGAAGCACAAGTCTCATAGAGGCAAGTTGGAAGGACGACTTTAGGAAAATCGGCCGTTTCACAGAGCCAAGCTTGCAGCTTGGTCCATATCTGTCTGCTTTTTTTGGTCGCAAGCACTTTACAATTCACCATGATAAAAATGCGTCCCAGAGTTGCAGTTTCGCAGGCTGACTGTTCTGCTGACAATGTGATGACATGCCAGGTACCAATGCGCCACTTTGCCCACAAGACTGCAGTAAACTTATGTAAATCCAGGTAAAGTTCATACTTTGCTGCGAAAGGAATGCGACAACACCTGGACCCCCGTGCGACCTGGAACTTCTTGATGAGCTTGTTGACACCTCCCTTGCCATCTTCACCTGGTGAGTTGGGTGTCTGGCACGGCCGGTGATGGATGTGGAGCCCAAGCCTGCTAAAATGGAGGCTTATATGTTCTGATGATTTCTGATGCTATTTTTCTGAAACTCGGAGCCCAACGTTTTGGATCCTCAGTAGAGGCCTGAGAATGAACAAGAGGTCAACTGAAGAGAGGGTCTCATGGCAGAGATCTGACAGCTGCTGCCAAATACCTACAAAGAAGAGACAGGCTGGTTGTTCATTTCATCAGGGATCTCCAATAGCGGAATGGAAAAAATGAGAAATTTAGAAAGGTGTATATCATCTGTATTATACATATATATATACATACATACATATATACATATATATATATATGTATATATAATTAGGATCGCAAAAGGATGGGTGAAGAAACTCTTCAACAAAGTCTGGACATCAATATTCCCAGTCTTCGAAGGGGCACCTTTCAGTGCAGCTGCAGTTTGCTTCTTCTCAATGTCTTGACGATGCTTAACTTTACAGATCTTTACAGCAAGATGCAACAGGTGAATTTGTCTTTGAGGGGTATCATACGGTATGAGCCTTCGGAAGACTTCGTAAAAACATGCTGAAACCACGTCAAATGCCTTGTTGGCATCGGATCTAAGGCTCACACTGAATCTTGCGGAGGGGGTGCGGCTTCAGAATCACCAGATGAAGCAAGTCTTGCACCTGGCAGGAAGAAGAGATGGTGCTTGTGAAAGCAGTGAAAGCTTGCTTTCTATGCATGGTAAAAGCATGCAAAAGACACACAGCATTTGTCCGGTTCCAAAGAATTCGATCTGCAAGCCTGCTTTCCAACGACGGCGACAAGCAGCTCCTGTGCATCTTGAGTTCCGTAATTGTTACATGTTGTGACGTCTCTTGAGGCGTGGATGTAAAAATATCATGAACTTTCATTGAATGCGTACAACCATTTCAATCGTGTACGTTTTTCATCGTTCTTGAACTGTCACTAGGCTGCGGTCTTCGGCACGGGCCTCCGGCTAAAACCACCAAAGGGGCTGAAGTTCCGAGGCTGAGCCCGCCAGAGGGCTTTGAGGCCTCGATAGCAAGTCGTTAAGGGATACAATCAGTATTGTATGTTTTGTCTGTGTATTTGTGTCCTGTGGAAGGTTGATGAATACTACCTGTAGTCAAAACATGTCCAAACTGGTTTTGCTTCAGTGCTTGACGGAGCTAAAGCTTCTCGAGGAAACCGGTTCAGGATGGAGCCTACCTATAAGACAAGATACCAACAAAACATACCAAAATCTGAATGTATTGCTGTTGTCACCCTTGTCCTCATGGGCTGTTCTGCTCTTTTCTTCTAGTTCACTGTGGTTTGTTGTGGCTTTTCGTCATTTGTCCAAATGCCCTCAGGTGTCGTTGACTGGCAATGCTGGGAGACTGCAACTCTGCCTCGCACAGTTTCTCTTGCGCTGCCACTCGGCACCTGAAATGGTAGAGGCATGTAGAGACATGAAACAACATGACAGTCACATGTTTTCAGTCCTTCTTTCCTCTCATTCCAGGGATATAAGATGATATATAAGTTTATATATATAATACATATAGTTATATAAATATATATAATTATATATAATTACGCATATATAATTGTAGAAGAGCTTGGTCACCTGACCAAAGAGCCTTCCTGCAGCCGGCTTTATTGCCACTGGGTCTACTGCAATAAACAGCCGCGCTGGCAAAGAGGTTGTGCCAAGCCTGTCATAGTGATATGGTCTTGAGGCCTCTCTTGGAACGTCACATCTTTAGAGTCTGATGATCAGGACACTGGGAAGGGTTAGAGTGATGGGAGTGATGGGAGGTGAGCTCAGCAAGAGCAATAAGGTTCAACAATCAAGATCGAAATCTTGAGGACGGGACAATACAGGACATGCCAAGAGAAAAAGCACGTCTGGGAGTGGAGTTCCTGTCCTAGTGCCGAACTAAGCCTCAAGAGAAGCAGCCCACAGATTGCGGCCTCGCTTCTTGCAAACAATCAAGCCCATCTTCTCAACCCAATGAATTTTAAAAACAACCCTCTGGAACTGGCACGAACTAGACTTGTCACCAATTTTCTTTGCAAATCTCTGCCGTTTGTGCTTTGACGGCACTCTCACTCAATCTACGATGCATCATCATTGCCATGGAGAGAATCCATTCTGTTGAACACAGTACGTTCTTTTTTGTCTGCAAAAAGGGAAAACTCCTTAGCTCTTGGCCATCCCACCTTTGAGGATGCCATGCTTGGGTTCAAGCACCCGGCCCTGGTTCATGCAAAAAAAAGACCGCAGCGGGAAAAAATAAAGCCAAAAACTGTCTAAAACTGAGGAACGGACCGAAGACAGTGCCATATGTCAAAACCGAACTAAAAGAGTTCTGAAGCATGTCTTGAACCGAAATTCAAGTCGCGGTCGTGGGAATCACAAAACAAGACTAGATCGTGGCCTGTTTTGGCATTGACCTTCTGGCGAACTTTTTCCGGCACTGTCTCATTTCGTGGCACGTGTGTGCTTTGAATCTTATGGCGCAAATGGGCGAAACACAAGGTAAAGGAAAGTGGCGAGGTACATGGGGGTTGTCCAAAATTATGGTACCCGAAACCTGCCCTTACGCCGCGCTTTCGCGAACCTTTTGCCGGACATGGGATTATGATCAGGTTTTCGTTTATTCATAGGTTTA